CCCGAGCCCGAGCGGCTTGGTCAGGGCTCGGGCTCGGTATATGCCTAACTGTAACTAAAATATACAAGACAGAAATACTGTTTCTTCACAAGCCGTGCGTTTTTCGAAAAAAACTATTTTCTCACACAGGGATGAACAGTTACGTATATGACAATAGATTTCTTACAATACGCATTGTGAACTGAGGAAAAAATACATTACTTTCATGTTCCTTTCTCGCAAAAGAGAAATCGAAACACTCATATGAGTAGCATTAACGACAGCCTTGAAGTCCACCGGTGTTTATGTAGAAATAAAAAAAAAATTAGAAGTGTGGGTTTTTTTTCTTTTTCATCATAGTTACGCCTGTGTGTGTTATCGTTGCTCTTTTTTCAGCTATAGAATAAAATTCATCACATTCATTCATTCATTTGTTTCAGAATAAGTTGTAAGTATGTTTAGATGTTGATAGTTGGATGAAGAAGAACTATAGTTTTGTATTGATAGAAAGAAGTTTGGCTAGACAAAGTATCATAAGTATACAGGCATGACCTCACTGAACCAAGTAAGTTCGTCTTCTTTACATGCATGTGTTCCGCGGTATTTTTTACCGTTTCATTTTTTTTATTTTAAATATAGGATGAGGATGAGTTACCGTCTTGGAACGCAGCCATAGAACGATTAAACTTTCAACAGCGCACGTGTGCCACATTTATTTCAAGAGAGTACGCATTTGAAATCCTTGAAGGTGTTTATTTGTTGAATAATTCTTATCTTATTAGAATCAATGAGCAATACTGCGTCTGTAATCGATGTAAGTGTGTCCATCCTGAAAGCCGTGCAGCTGAGCGCCTTGATAAAGAATGGACTTGGAAAGAACACACCATGATTGAAGCTACTCAATACTATGGAGTACTGCCGAAATTAAATAGTCCCGTATGTATAACCTTTCAAAGCAAGATAATATTGACTTTCGTTTATCGGTCTAGTATTTACGTTGTGCCATTGATACAGATCTCGACCAGCTCTCCTTGGTACTACTAAATGTATGGGATACGCATGTACCTGGTTTGATCATGCGTATGGTGAGCGATACCAGCTCTGCACTCAATGCCAAATTAGAGAGAGATGTCTTGAAAGGAATTTCAGATGCTGCTGTAGCGTCCGGTACGTATATATGAGGATTAGAAAACGATAAAACAAAATTCTGTTTACTTCAGATGCATGTATTATCACGAGTAGTTACAAAGAAGACATTATTTCACAGCTTATCGGCGAAGTAATTTACAAAAGCCGAGTGAAGAATTCCGAGACCAATTTCAGGGCGATCGGAGTTGGTAAATGGGGTAGCATTCGCGATGTACCAATAAAAGAATTAAGGTTTGATTAAATTAATATTGTTAAGAATCGAAGAAGGCTTTTCTCCATATCGACTCTTCTATAACAATGATACCTGTCATCGCTGAGAGTGGTTACTGTAAATAGGAGAATGAGGAAAAGTTAGTTCGATATAACAAAGACAATAACTCATGTATACATATTCTGATAGTATCGTTTATAAACGCAGTACGATCGAGACGATGAAGATAAAAGAGTTTTAAAGAATTCTTTGCCATTTTTTGTTTCGATGGAAGTAATTTGAAAGCTAACAAGTCGCGAACAAAGCTTGATTGTAGATAAGAAAATAGAAAATAAACATGGATGAAAACAACGCATCAGGCGTGTAGAGTAAGATGATAGGCGTAGTCAACGACCTAACGACAGATTGTGAATATATATATGTATGAATATTTTTTGTAACATAGCTGTCGAAAAACATTTGTGATTGAAGTCTCAAGTTTCATTATGTTAATTGATAATTGATTTAAATAGACATATTAAGACGCATCACAAATTGTGTAAGAATAGCAACAATGATGCTGCGCCCGCTATTGCACCTGGCCGATATACATTAGAGCTCAATCTCACACAGTATATTTTTTTCGATGATGGTACGTATAATTCGATGGATACTGGCAGTTTTGCTTCGAAACTTGCAAGAAATATATCACGCGGATCACGACGTAAAAGTCAGTTTATTTTATAAAACATCTTGTGCACAATTTGTTAAAAAAATATTTCTTTTCCATCTAGTACCATTAGTTACGATTCTTGTTGGTGCTGATCTGCATGCTCTTAAATTGATATGCACTGATTTAGAGAGCAATATTCCAGTTCTCATTATTGATGTAAGATACTCTTGTCTTACGAAGAATTCATGTATTGATTTATTTACATAACATAGCAAAGCGGACCATTGGCTACAATCATGTGCAAGTACTTGAAGTTAACCGAAAGTATAATCGTCTTTTTTGAATCATTAGTCACTTCTCAATCGAAGTCTTTGTATTATAGATATGTTCAAACCTACGGAAAATCAAAATCAAGAATTAATCAAACGTGATAGTACCAATGTTAACCGTAAAGACGGTATTGATACACATATACTTCGTCAGCGATTTGGAAGAACTACGTAAGTGCTTAGAAAATAGACAGGATGAGCAGAATTTTTTTCTTTTATTATCTAGTTTGAAAGAAGTGTTTAACAAGTTCGGCAGTATGCGCTCTGAGATTTTCAAAGATATGCGAGAACTCTATGATATTACCAGACAGAAAGAGTATACAATTCTCGGCAAGAAATTGCGCGTAGGCGAACTGCTCAATTCGGCCGAAGAAAAAGTTTTTGCAGAATATCTATATTGGTTTGCAACTTGTCTAGCATCATCTTTTCGTGATCGAATTCACGTTTTCGACATGAACCCATCGAGTCCTTTACAAGACAAGATTTATGAAGCTATGGTCAAAGGTCAGTTTGAATTAACGCTTTTACTTTTGATATATCATATTATTTTGTAAATTCAATATAACGTTTTATAGTGAATGTTTCTAAGTCTGCCTTGTACAGTTTTCGTTAGGATATATTCCCCACGAACATATACAAAACGAGTTAGTTTCTTTCATAAAGTAGCAATTAGGTAACTGGGATATCTCTCGAAGAGAACATCCGTCGTGCCGCTTGAAATCAGACCTCAATCCTAACTAGATTCCGTCACTGAATCAATTCCAGATCTATATTAACATCTACTCAGAAGGGCATCATTACATCTCGAAAATAAATGTCGGTAGGTAGTCCACTGTACATATTCTAAGTAGTATGGTCGTAATGATTTTAGCTTGGGGCGTGGATGCGAAGATGAGTAAGTACAAGTATGGATAAGTTCATGTATTATAGTCAACTCCCACGTTGGCTCATACTTGCATCCACACCCTGCATTCATTAATAGCCTACAAATACGATAATATATTCTATATATGTAGCACGAAAAAATCTATCACACACCAATAATAAACAAGCCATGACTACCGATGATCAAATGCTCCGTTCACTTCGTTGGAAGAACATTTCAGATGACACTGATGGTCATTTAACCATCAGCGCAGTGAAATGGAAAGATACTAAAAGTGTAAGCAATTGTTTGTTTCCTTTCTGAAGTTTTTCATATTCTTGTTCATTCTCAGATTAAATACAAGCGAGACTTAATTCTTAATGGTATGAGCGAAAATGCAGTAGTATTGGTCAGTAATTTTGTCAAACTCGGAATCGATTTTGCTGCTTTATTTGCTCCTAATGCTGATTCAAAAAAGGAATATATGGATGGATCGTGGAAACTCTATCTAGAAAAGTTGTACTCGGAGAAAATGCGTAAAAATGTATGACGCGCTTGCTTTAACGTTACGAAAAAGACGTATTTTTTCATTATAGATAGATCCATTGTATTTACTCGAGAAGACCGATAATAACTTCACTTTCAATGAAGAAACGCGTTTGACTCATGTTCTACGAAAATTAGTTGGAGATTTTATGGAACCAATTTATAAGCCTGAATCGTCGTTTGCAGGAAATCAAGTAGCACCCGAAACGCCAAACAAAATCGACAGCGAATACATTTTTCGTGATCTCTTTCTCTGGTGTGTACTTACTCACCGGCTTGACATAGCAAAAATTTTTCTCAACCAAATGAAAACTCGTATCTGTTCAGCGCTTATTGCTTCAAAAATTCTTAAATCACTGTTAAAATATGCACCTGATCATGATTTACGAGATAAACTGAACTTAGAAGCAGATGACTTCGAAATGTATGCCATTGAATGTGTACGTTCTTCGTATCTGTACGATCGTGAACAGGCATGTGAGTTGATCATGCGACGTGTAAATCTTTACGGAGAAGTGACATGTCTACGAATGGCTATTGCTGCTGATGATAAGAGATTTTTGAATGAAGATGCTTGCAACGCTTTATTAACAAATATTTGGTTTGATAAAATTGATCCTACTCAAGAACGTACTCGTCTTATTATCAATTTATTGACAATGGGTATTGCACAATTTGGCTTTTCAAACTATGAGAAGCGTCAGAGTAAAATAGCAAAATCAGAAACGAAGGTAAGTTCATAAATTGATAATAAGGTATATGTCATCTTCTATTTATTTCTAGGCAATCAACAAATCAACTGCAGAACAGCGGTAAGTACTGATTTATCAAGTGATTATTACTTATGAACATATAATTTAAGATTGGCCAAAAATGGAATTGATTATAGCGATGATTATAATACTACTGACTCACCATATACACATTTCAAACATTTTCACAATCGTCCGATTGTCAAGTATTGCTATACTTGCGTAAGACATCTTCAATATAGCGTCCTCTTTCTCATATTATTATTTCGAGATTTCTAGTTCGGTTATATACTTTTCCTGCTCTTCTTCAGTTACTATATACTCTTTGCATTTGATCCACCTTCAGAAAACAATCCAGACATTCATTGGACAGAGATTTTAACTATCATCTTCGTGACCACTATGTTTTTGGAAGACGTTCGGCAGGTTAATATATTATAATTTATTTCGTTTATATGTCATTCAATCTCTTTGTCTATTATTATTAGTTCTATTTTCAAGACGACTTGTCGTTGACAAGCAAAATATTGACCTATTTTGACTTGAAAAATCGGTCTTCTAATCTATGCCTAGTTCTACCAGCATATGTACTTTTCTATGTCGGGCTCATATTGCGTTTCGTCCTGCAAGATACGACCACGTTTGCAGCTGCAAGGTAAGTGTAGTCATCACATCAATTATCCAAATTGAGCGTTATTTACAGAATTGTGTTGGCCTACGATCTCGAACTATGGTATATTCGTTCGATTCTTTTTATCGGCATTATTCCTAGCTTGGGTCCAAAGCTCGTCATGATTCGAAAAATGGTAAGCCTTTTTTAATGACTTTCTTTGAACATTGTAAAGTGTTACTATGAATGTAGACTAACGATCTGCTGTTTTTCGGACTCATCATCATGATTGTCATATTCGGATATGGAATAACGTCAAGATCCATGACAGCGTATGGAACCTTCGATTTTGATGGTCGACAGTTTTTTAGAAACGTTGTTTATCCAGTTTATTACTTCATTATGGGCAATATTGGTGATGAGCTTGCAAATTTAGACGGTACAAATGATAGACAGAAGAAAAAATCGGGCGAATGTAATTCTATATGTACATATTTTTCTTTATAGCTACGCCAGATGCTAGTACTACGATAGCTACTCAAGTTTTGTTTGCTTTTCACATGCTCTTCGTCAATATTCTATTGATCAACTTGCTCATTGCCTTGTTCAGGTACATAGAAAATACAGGAAAATTTTCTTCAGACTATAAATAAATAAATGAATATTTTAGTACCACAATAACCAAGGTACAAGACAGAGCACAGTATATTTGGGCTTATGATCGTTGTGGCCTGGTTCGTGATTACTACGGTCGACCAGCATTATTTCCTCCATTCACATTTCTCATTTCATTTGCTGAATTGTGTCGATGGTGTTGGCGTAAATGTCATAATAAAAACAAAGGAAAGAAGAGATATTTCAGTAAGGATAATATTAATTCTTTACGACTAAGAATATTATATCAATTTTGCAACGGAAACTGCACATATTTGGTTCAATCACACAATTTATTTTAGAAATGATTCCGGCTGATGCTGATCTTGACAAATCACGATCAGAATTCGAACGATATCCGACTGATGTCAGTCTTGACAAATCATGGTCAGAATTTGAGCGATATTCGACCAATGACTATGTTCGACAATGTCTCGATACACAAACAGTTACTACTTCGAATATAATAACAACAGATGTTACGTAAGTAATACGACCGGAGATGAACTTCTAGCGAGACATTGTTTAGACAAAAGCTTCTGAGAATAGTGTTGTGGATGGATAAGCCTGAAGAACGGAGGAATCTCTTTCAAACTCGACGTCTTAATTAACACTGTCGTATCAAAAACTTGCATTTTTCATAAATTTTAAGTCTTTCGATTACTGTTCTCATCAATAGTGTAAGAAAACAAGTATATTCTATTTCACTGATGTTTACAGATCCGAAATTTCATCAACCAATAGCAACGAGTTAAAGCACCTGGCATCTGATATACATGAGTTAAATGATGGTCTTACACATGCACGTAATAAAAACGATGTGGAATTAGAGTCAATAAAGTCAACTGTTTCCAATCTTCAAAGTCAAGTATATACAGGAAATGCTCGTCTTGAAAGAGTATGTGTGAATATTGTTTGTTTGAGCAACATTACGATTCACGTGTATATTTAGATCATTGATTCACTCGATTGGATGATGAGTGCAATCGCACGTGTTAAAATGGCCAGCACACATCCTCCAGTCATTAAAGAAAACCCACGTAAGTTTACCAGATACTTTTGAAAAAGGAGAAGCAGCTGAACCAAAATAAATCTATTGATTCTGGAATTGACTCCTCAACTGTAGGTTTACGAAATTCACTGATCAATTCCTTGTCTATAGAGTGAACATTGATTAAATATAATTGACTTTGAATGAAAGAACTCACGAATTCAGCTGCTTTTCTTTGCTGTAGAGTCTTGTGATCTTATTTAGTATTATTATTAGGAACATCTGTATCCAATCAAGGACAACAATTACCACTGAATAATGCACAAGATAATCTACGGCTCCGTAAACCAGATAGTGGCTCTAGAACACAGCAGGCGAAACAAGAGGGAACAACAGCTTCCGATGTTGTCATTGACATGACAGATGAATCGAATAATGAACAAAATGTGTGAACTTTTTTTGCTAGTTATAGCATATCTTAATTCTTTTTCTGAAACACATGACCAAGAGACATCAAATATTGAATTAGATTTTTGTTATTTTATAGATCCTACGCATTTGAAATCTACAAATAAAATAACTCTTATTCCAGTTCATATTTATTTATTTCTTCAGAATATACTATCTTTTATGAATGCTATTCAAATGTATATTACTACTGTTGTTACCCGAGAGGGTGTGAGTATGGGGCTATACTAAGTATTCTATCCAAACGCTCCGTATATTCTAGTTGTAGAATCACGTTCCTTTCGAAAATTATTAATCAACTAATGGCAGCACTGGGTGGTTTCATGACAATGATAAGTAGTTATGTTGTTGGTCGAAAGTCTTTTTGTCGACACATACTTGGTCGACAAATTATCGTCAACACTGCATTTCGTCGACACAGCACTTCGTCGACACAGTATACAGGAAAGATAACCATAATATAATATTTTTTGTTTTTATAGAAAAAAATCGTGTAATGTCAATACTAGAGAGATAGTTTATTAAGAAAAACTAACCAATAAATAGAACAGAACAAGAACAACAACATAGAGAAAACATAGATAGAGAAAAAAGAACCATATATTTTGATTATTATTTCTTCTTTGCAACCAAAAGTGAAAGACCTTCAAGATAATCAATGAATGTAATTTCCTTTTTTTTTATATCGATGAGCTAATGTTTCCAAACATACAAAGATAATTAAAGATATCTGAACTTTTGTCTTGCTTGTGAGAAAATAAGAACAATATAATTATTTTTCGACGAAATGTTTCGTCGACGAAGTGCGTTTCTACAAAAAAAAATTCGACTAAACATCGTGTCGACGAAATGCTTTTTGACAAAAAAATTTCGACAAAATGTTCAGTCGACGAAATGCTTTTCTACAAAAAAAACTTTCGACCAAAAGCTGTCGACCAAGTTACGTCGACGAAATGTCGTTCGACCAACAACATGGTATTCCCATGATACAATTCGTCGTAATCGATTCTTGAGTGAAACCAACAGATTAGTGAGACAGTAATCAGATAGAATCTATTTTGAATTTCATCATCTTTATTTTGACGAAATGTAAAGAGTATGTGCGCAGTGCACTTATCGCTTTCAATAAAACACTTATAACGCATGGCTGACAGATAAATATAATGTTTAAAAAGTTCTATTTCGGAGGTAAGATATCGACGAATTAAATTTAACTTTTAATTTATTGAATTATAATCTGTTTTATGCCTTCGAATAATAAGTCAAATACTAGTATTAGTTATTTATATTACAGTAAATAATCTTGAAGAGTGGGTGTTATCTTGATGCACCATCTACACTCACACCTTGTCAGAATTTTAGAGAAAATGAACATTCTTTTACACATTTGTCATTGTTAGTATATTGTTATTTTTTTAAATCACAAAAGAAAAGAATAAGCTTAAAAAGAAAAATATCACATCATGCAATAAAATAGTAAGATATACCAAAAAATATTGAATGTTTAAACTATGAAATCATTTTTATGTATTACTGTGTGTTGAATGTTCGAATGTCGGTAATGGAATATTTGACATTTTGACACGAGCCATTGCTGTCATCATCCAATCCATAGAAGTTAATACCTAGTCAAAAAAATATTACGATAATTGTAAGTTATAAAATATGAGTGAATATGATGGCATACGCGGTTCATTTGCGTTTCGGTTTTAGCTTGAGTCTGTTGGTTGCTATGGTGTGGGTGTGGGTGTGGGTGTGGGTGTGGGTGTGGGTGTGGGTGTGGGTGTGGGTGTGGGTGTGGGTGTGGGGTGGGTGTGGGTGTGGGTGTGGATGTGGGTGTGGATGTGGGTGTGGGTGTGAGTGTGGGTTTTGTTGTCTTACGTGAGCACTTACACCCAAACCCACACCCATACCCTGGAGAGGAGAAGAAGGAAGAAGGGTGTTATTCTAGGAAAAGAAGCAGTCAGTCGCTTTTGATTTTTCACTTGACTAAGAGCGTCCATGCATACAGTGAACAAAAACGATTGGTGTGGGTGTTAGTGAATTTGAATATGAGTACGGGTGTAGATCGATCTGAAGCTCGATTTGGGTGTGGGTGTTCGTGCCTATGATCACCAAACCGACACTCCACCCACAGCCACACTCACACCTCTACAGTTTTCATACGAATGTTGATCGAATGAAAAAGAAATTACTGAAGTGTCGATCGGTTCTTCTATTCTCTGAAAAATTTAAATTGCTTCGCTTCAGAGTGGAGAGCAAAAGAAAAAAGGCTGTTATTGTAAGAAAAAAAAGCAGCCAGTCGCTTTTGCTTTTTCATCTGACGAAGAACGTCCTTCATGCAGTGAACAGAAATAAGTAGGTGTGAGTGTTAGCGCGAATGGCTATAATCGCTCAACTCACCCACGCTCACCTTCGATACAGAACGTGGCACTGGTGAAATACATAGTTGTCGACCGGTTGTGCTTCGAAATTTTAATGATTCATTTGTGATCTGGTGTTGTTGTTGTGTTTGAGGAATGAAAATCAAGTTTCGTGAAGTCGCGTTGACACACTGAGCTATTAAAAGTGGATTTACTGTTGAGGCTTATTTGATTATAAAACTGTGCCACGCATTATCTATAGCATATTGTTCAATGCAAAATACAGAATCAGAAAATTATGGATTCAAATCGTTATAAATTGAAAATTGTTGTGGTTGAGTCCATGTATTCTACACTTATTTCCACAGATCAAAAGAAAGATGTTGTTGCAATTGATTTAAATCCTATAAAACACGCTGGCGGTATAGATGTCTCTTGGTATTGTTGTTGTCATTTCTTTAAAAAATTCTGATCATACATAACATGATCAAGAGTGAAATAGAATACGTGCGTAGATGAAACGAAATGCCGATAAACTTGCTGTCATATATCAAGTTTATATTGTGTAGGATTCCAGTCTTTAATAACCAATGATTTTGATGTTTGTTTGGCTTGAGAAGTTATTGTAATATCCTTATGATCAAAAATATCTGATAAAGCATTGATTATCAGTCTAGAAAATTCCTCTTGACGACAAATATAAAGAAAATGTTTGACAGCTATTTTAATATATTGTTTACGAACTGTCTGTCAATCATCATCAAGAAATTTTTGCATGAATAATAAATGTAAACAATTATTTGCATTGATTCCTTCTGTTATTACATTTAGTCGAGCTTTAAACACATTTGAAATCTGATACATATCAGCAAGTTTCAATGAGATAGTTTTACTGACCGATTCAGCCATATTACTTTCAAACATAGCTGCGGAAAATATGCGAACCAACCGAGAGAATAACTCTATCAGCTTTGGAATGTTGGTTATTGTTGACGATTCAACATCAGAAAGTAGATGAGCTCTTGGAAATTGGATCAATCAGTGATTAATTGAACTAAATCGTCTTTGGTAAGGAAATTATTGTCTCTGATTATTTTTCTTTTTATTATTGCATATCTACTCTCCCCTTATCCATTAACGTAGCACAATCTTAAGGAAATGTGGTGAATTCTTACGGTACTAATTAGTAGCAGTTCCGAGTGTTACAATAAAGAACGCTAATTATAAAAAAAATCAATGTTCATAGTTGAAATCATTTTTATCTTAAGTTTTATCGATACATTCTCTCCTCTAGAGAGATAGATTAGATCAATTAGGAAAAAAGAAGAGAATATAAAGTGTAATGATCGTTGTTCCCATCTGGAAAGAACAAATAACAGATATTTTTCTCATTCAAGTAGTTTAGTCTATTATTAGTTAGTTTTCTATCGTCAGTTTCCATCTTAATTTTTTGGAGGTGAATATTATTCAGCCGTCGACGACGAAGAATGGAAAAAGTTGCTAGGAAAAATTCAAGCCGTCGACGGATGCATCAGTATACATCTTCAACATTGAAGAAAAAGAAAAAGAAATGACAACATAACATTTTTTCTCCTTGGTTTCTTATTCTCAAAAATAGGTGACACTCACAAACAGTTTTCAAATGATCATCGTGTAAACAACCGTAGATACATTCTCACTCAAAACATCGTCGTCATGTTTTTGAAACTTTTCATTTGTACACTAGTACTAACCTTGTGCACATCGTTCTTAACTGCGCCAGCATCTACAATCTTGACTTATTCTCGCCGAAATTTAACTTGCACGATTCGAGACGATATATACTTGAATGATTTAACGATTGCTTACAACAGTGAAGGGTATGATTATTGTCTGATTTCAGTTGTCACGTTTCTTCTTCATAATTCAACCCAAACTGTCATTTATTCTGACGGTTTCACTTATGTGAATTTATATCGCAATTTTGCCATCAATCATTGTAACTTTTCAGCAACCATAGACATTGGTTATGGAAGCTGTACTCTGTATTATTTTGATACGGCACTATCAAGAAACTTGTGTATCTGTTCCACCAATAATTGCACTGCTACTTATGCGACTTGTCAAGCATCAGTTAATCAAGCACTTTCCTCGCCTCCACCACTGTTGCCTGTAATTACACCAACATTGTCAAATATAATAACTTGTCAAGATACCTATGCCAGCTATTCTGCTCTGCACAATATTACACCTCCTATGTATTTAGGTTGCTATTTTATGTTACCTGCTGTGGATGTATTTGATATGTATACAGATAACGGCACCAAATGTTACGCCTATACATCCAATCATACTGTCATGTGTACAATTAGCATCGATCCCATACAAGGAGTTCTAGAGCAAGTGGCTCTGATCGAAGCTAATTATGAACTATGGATGAATGCCACGATCATGGCTGGTGCAAATTTAATGAATGACGGTTATACCTATTACCAATATCAAACCGCCACAAGTATTGTAACAATAGCAACTAATGGTTCGAATCAATTTAATCAGGCACTATGTCTTTGTACGATCGATAATTGTAATATTGACATTGCAACATGTACAAATGGTATGAATATTCCTTCGTATCTTCTCTCTTACAATGGATCAATAAGTACTTCACAAGGTACTACTGTATCGTCTAGCTCAACAACGAGATTGATGAACAGTAGTTCAAGTTCCTCTCCTACGATCACCGGATCATTGACAGCGGCATTAACAACTACTTCTGGTTCCACCATCGGTAGTACAAATACTGCGTCTACAAACAAACCATCGAGTTCTTCAAGTGAGATAATCTTTGTCCCTAAAACCATAGACAACATTTTATTAATTTTTTGTCCTTTCTTATTTCAGGCATCAAGTACAATCAATCTTTCATAGCGGCATCATTTATCACGATCGTTATTATTGCTCTGTCGTCATGAATAAGAAAAATCTTTATTTGCTTTGTAATGCACAATCATTTCTTTTATCTTCATATGCAGTGAATAGTGCTGAATGTAATATTTCTGTTTGTTCTTTGATTTTGTTCAAAATGTAATCAATACATAATCGAAATTAATTTTAAAGTCCCATGCAACATCTCTGATACCCTATCTGACTAATAAAATATAATGTAAATATTTATTATTTACAATTTTCTCCAGACTATGAATTCAAATTAACTCTTTCACACGAAATCGTAGATAAAATAAGCTTATCATTTACGACGAACTTGCTGTTGTTGTTGTTGTCGTCGTATTGATCGATTATCGATTGCATTATTCGGATCATCGAGACTCATATTATGTTGTTGCTGCTGTTGTCGTGGTTGATTATCAGATGAATTGTTTGGAGGATGTAGAATCATACTATTTTGTACCTGTTGTTGTTGTTGTCGCCGTGATGATTGATTATCAGTTACATCGTTTACAGGATGCACAATCATGTTATACAGTTCGTGCCGTTGATATCGTCGTTGTTGATTATCGATTACATCGTTTGGTTCGTGCAGATTCATATTACGGCGCTCCTGTTGTTGTCGATTAGCTACTGCTGTTTGATGATTAGTTAGTTTAATATTGCCTATTTCTTGTTGGATATGACCAACATTTTTCGTCACAGCTGTCAACCAAATTCGCTTTGATGTCCATCGATTGCGCACATCTTCTGTAGTTTTTTCCAAACGTTCTTTTGCTGCTTGACGTTGCTCGACATCAGCTGTAAGTTTATTGTGTCGATCGTTTTGCTCATTATAAGTTTGTTGTTTCTCTTGAAGTTGCTTGGATAATTGTTCAAGTCGTTCACTTGTTTGATGAAGACGCTGCTCGGTCTCGACTATTTTGTTTTCGCTCATCTAAATAGATCAAGTAGCAGAATGTTCAGCTTTTGATATTTTTTTTAACAATACAGCACTCACCTGTTTAGCGGCCTCTTGTTTTTGTAAGGCTTCTGTCGCCTGATTAATATTTCTTCGGTTATCTTGCAGACCTTGCTGATTTTCTCGAATTTGTACTTTGACTTGCTCAAAATGTGCAGTACATTCATCGTGCTGTGATTGTAGTTGAGTCTTCTGTTGTTCTTTCACCTTCAAATCAGTCATAGCTTTATTAACTTCGCCACTCTTTTGAATCATGGCTCCATTTTGTGTATTAAGATTATTTTTTAAATCTTGAACTTGTTTATCAAGTTGTTGCTTCTGCTGTTGTGTCTCATCAAATTTTGTCTTTAACTGCTGTTGTTCTCCAGTGAGTATTTGACTTTTTCCTTGTTCCCTACGGAGTGCATTCTCCTGTGTACCTTTCGTATTTCCTAATTCTGCCTTGGTTTTATTGGCTGATGCAATATCTTGATCGATTTTACCAACTTTATTTTTTGCTTCTTGTGCAGCTCCTTGTTTAGTAGCATATTCAGCCTGTTTAGCTTGGACTTGCTGTTGTTTCTGACCAACAGCAGCTTTTGCTTCTTGAACACCTTGTTGTTTGGCTCTGAACTGCTCGGTGATTGTCTTGACACCATCTTGAGCCGTCTTAAGTTTGGTCTGAGCATCTTTCAATGTATTTTCCGTGTTGACAAATGTTTGTTGAGCTTGTCCTTGTTTTTTTTCTAAATCAGATGCTTCTTTCGTCAATTTTCCTACTTGCTCTGTCTGTTTTTGAGCATCAGCTTCAGCATTATGAACTTCGTTTGTTTTGGCTGCCGCTTGTTCGTTAGCATCACCCAATTGTCGATTAATTGTCTCATAATTACTAGTCGCTTTTTCCAGAATCAATTTGTGTCTATCAAGTTTTTGTTGAACGGTATTTTTGGTCGTGATCTGACGATTCAGTTCACTTTCCTTGGTCTTGTACAGTCCAGTCTGTTTAGCAAGTTTTGTATCCGCTGCGCCCTTGTCTTCGGTTGCTGTCTGATGCAAATCAAATGCTTGCTCGCGTTTTACAGACGCCGCTGCGAGCCTCTTTTCTACGTCGTTCTGTTGTAACTTAAAAGCAGCAACTGCAGCCGTTGCAGCTATAACTAAAGTTGTTGCTTTAGCAATAGCAACTGCACCCCATCCTGTGAATCCGAAAGCTGTTGCAACTGCTAGGGCGGCACTAGCGATTCCAAGTGCAAGTTCGGAAGCAGTCACATTATTTTTTATTTTCTGTAATTCGGTCTGCAATTGTTGTTCTTCCTTCATTGCAGCGTCTAATTTTCGCTTTGCTTCACTCTTCTCTCGTTCAGCATCATTTACCTCGTTTTCCGCGTCCTTAACAAGTGTTTGTTGATCTTCAACTTCCTTTTTTATATCCAGTTCCTTTTGCTCTTCTGCACGTAACATTGCTACAATCTCATCTTGCAACGCGGTCGCCATATCAAATTCTTTCTTAGCTTGAGCTTCGACTTGTTCGAGTTTACTGATTTTCTTGTTGACTTCGTCAAGTTCTTTTTGTTTTTGAGCAAATATCGTTTCAAGTTGCTTTTTCTGTTGTTCTTGTTGCGCCAATTTAGCATTTGTAGCTTGAAGTTGCTGCTTTAATTTATCGACTTCAGCTCGTTGACGCTCCACTTCTTGTTCTGTTTGTTTAACCATTTCCCTAGAAGACAATATCTATGTATTCTCGCTATTGAACATTATTAAAGAGATTATTCTAATACCTACCCTGCTTTTGTAAGTTCGTTCTCAGCTTGTCGTACTTGTTCTTCCAGCTGATCGACTTCGTTTGTTAGTTGGGTTAGTTTTTCTTGCAATATTTTTAATTCATTATCAAGTGCTGCAACTTCTGCTTGTAGTTCTTCAACTTCAGTTTCAGCTGCTCGTTGTTCATCTTCAAGTTTATCTTTTTCTTGATTTTTCTGCTCAATTTGTGCGGCTACTTCGCGTTCTTTGTTGTCGACCTAAACAATATTATAGAATTTTTAACGGATGTGGGTGTCGGATTTCTCGCAACTTACTTCTCTAAGCATTTCTTCGATACGTCGAATTGATTCTTGCAATTGCCGTATTTCATTTTCGACTTGCTGCTGAGCTTGTTCCAACTCTTGAATACGCGCATTTTTCTCGTTCATTTCCTGTTCACGTTGAGCCATCTCTTGTTGAGTTTGACGTATTTTCTGGGTCAGTTCTTCAACAACTCGTTCAAGTGCAGCTAATTCGTGTTGTAATTGCTTGGTTTGTTCTTCTAATTGAACTCGTTCAGCATCAATCTTAGCTAATTCTTGCTCCAGAGCAAGTTTTTCAGTTTCGGCTGTTTTCAATGCCTCAACAAGTTCATCTCTTCGTTGTTCTAATAAACGTTTATCATTTTCTAATATAGTGAGTTGTTGTTCCAGATCGTCCAGACGTTTTTCTTCTTCTTGAAGTACTTGTTGTTGTTCAGTGAGCGTTGTTTGCCATTTGTCACGCTCGATTGTAAGGTCAAGTTGGTGTTGACGTAGTTTTTGTAATTCCACTTGAACACGTTTAATTTCTTCTGTAAGTTTAACCAGTTCATCAGTTACTTGTTTAAGATCTTTTTCAAGTATATCTAATTGAACACGAAGTTGTTCCAATTGTTCGTTGAGTTGTTCAAGTTCTTGTTCAGCAGCATTAATTTGCTCGTTCATTTCTTGAATTTCTACTTCAAGTTCATTCACACGCTCTTCTGGATTCAAAATCCCCATTTCACGTTCTATATCGTCGAATAGAGCTAATCCTTGTCTAGCAATCTGTTGATCATCTTCATTTATTCGACTCAATTCAAGTTCACGTATTCGTTGCATATTCTCCGCATGCAATCGTCGTTCTTCTTCTTCTTCGGCGACATTATAATTAGTTGGCATAATCTATGATAAAAAGTAGATATAAGTAATTTCATGAGTAATGAAAAGAACTTACATAACCAAACAAGCAATACGACGTTTTTACGCGTAAACACGTGTGTTTTTATTACTTATTTGGTTGTGTGTACGAAAAGAAAGGAGAAAAAAATACTATATTCTTTTTTTCTTGCGTTCTACGTCTGCCAATACAAATTTTCATGACTCATCATTCAGTAGTCAATATTATTCATGTAGAGAAGAACGAGAAAAAACACAATACTTGGTTGCTCTACATAAAAGAAAAAGAACGAGTTGTTCTTAGCTTACATAAATGCAGCGCGCAGACACGTTATTTTTTTTATTACGCTTCGTAACGTATGTATTGAGGTGATGAAACTAGAGAATAATTCCGTTACAATTAGTTAGTACTTTCATATTGTTTTGAAAGAACATATTATATCATAGATTATATACGATTCTACAAGTCATTTTTTTCTTCCTTTCGTTTTCCTCCCTTCACATGCCCATGACTCCGTCTCTGTTATTTTCAAATATATTTCGCTCTGAGTAAGTGTTTTTATTTAAGATACTTTCTTCATGGCGACTGAATATCAATCAGTATTTACTTTTCTCAATTTGACTACATCGTTAACAACGATCGATCGTGAACGTATGGAAAAACTTCGTTCATCTTATGATACGATAGTCAAAACATCGTCAGTTACTACTATGGGAGTAAATATAGATGATCAACTTAAACAACTTGCTCAAATATTTATGCTTATCGATGATGCAACAAATATTGATCATTTAAAAATTTGTGTTACAGCAAGTAGTATAGGAGTAGCATGCGAAGCAATTTTCGCTAAATATGCTGATATGATGATTATGGAAAAAAGAAATGCAAAGAAGGCACTACAACAGTCGACCGCATCAGTCACAACAAATATTACTGATAAGCAAGCAACCAACATAGTAGAATATTTATCGCATATCATCTGTCAAATTATTGTCAAACAAAATGAACCAGCTGTTATCGGGTTTATTCATAACTTTCTTCTATCTCCAGTTGGTGAGGCTACATCAACACCATCCACTAAGACCTTTGCTGTATTATCTCCAGACACTCTTGTTCATGGACCTCTAAATCCGAGTTCGATACTAGATGCTTTTATTCGTTCTCAATTAATGGCTAAAGGTGGTACAATCAATGTTGGTCGTCCGCTTACTAAATTTTCATTGGTAGAGCCAATAACATTGGTCGACGAATTTGATACTTGGCATTTCGATCAATTACGTGGACTATTCGAATTAAACCTTGTCTCGGAGAAAAAACAATTTCCATCCATATGGAGATTGGCATCAAATGCTAAAATCTTCTTCGTTTTAGAGTTACCTGGCGGTGACAGAAATAATGATCAGGAAAATGTACAAACGAGTAGAATTATCGATCGACCAAGTACAGCATCATTAGAACAATTTGTTGAAGATGTTTGTGAGAAAGAAAACAATGGTATGGCTAGTAAATGGATTGGTGCATTGCGTGCAGATGATCTTTTTACGTTTGATCATCTTGCCAATCTAAAATACAACGAATGGAGTGAACTTAAAGTGTTAACTTTGAATGGAAGAAAAGTTCTCAAATCGTATATCGATCGTGAAAAACAAACGGCTAGCGATGCCAAAACAGCCAAAAGCGCAAATACAAGTGGAATACGTAAGTAATTTTATCGTAAAAACATTGATTAATAATCTATTAATACATAGAATCGCATTCGGAATTACTCGCGTATCTTCATCAGATCAAATTATATTTTCATCATATACTTGCTGATCTATTTGCCGATGCTCAAGTTCCAACTCCAGCTAAATTGGATGCTCGTTGTGTTCATTTATCATTCGATGAGATGCGTAAGGATGGTTTTGCTGATGATGGACTTTTCGATGAAATGAAAATGTTTTTTCTTCCACTTACCATGATCGAAGAAGATTTAGCTGTCGATGATTCACAATGGCGTTTTATTTCGCAAAATAATATGAGAGAACAACAGAAACTATTGGAAAGGAGAAAATATCTACTCACAGAGCTGAGCGAGAAGGAAAGTGAATATTATCGACATGATGATAACGTTCGAAGATTAAGAAAAGAGATGCATACAAACAAACAAGTATCAGCAGATGAGAATGGAGAAGGATATGGAAACTTTTCAGTGTCAGAATTATTGGATATTAATCGACAAGCAATGGAACAATTGGATTCAGATCGAAATAAACTACGAACTCAACTTCAAGCCATTGAAGATCTACTCAGTAATATCGAACAAATCTCAATGAAACGTAATGATAAAAGTGATAAAAAGAAAGAACGAGATCTTATCAAGCCAAATCGAGGTTTTATCATGTATGGACCACCAGGTGAGTTTCCTTTTAATTGATTGTAACTATTAAACTAAGAAATGAATGAGTTTTCAGGCACTGGTAAATCAGATATCATGAGTAAACTATCGACACGTATGGGTGTGAATATGGTTGCACCTCCAATTGCTGCTGGTGAACTTAATCGACCACTTGTAGGCGAATCGGAACGTGTAATCTTGGATATTTGTATGCGTTGTCATCGAACACCTTATCTGATGTGCTGTGTATCTATCGATGAAATTGATTCGTTAGCACCGAAACGTACAGATGATTCAAGTGATGGAAATGTAGCTAAACTTAGTGTTCTATTATCAGTCATTGACGGTATCAAAGATGTACCCAATTTGATGATCTTTTGTGCTACAAATCGTTTACATACGATGGATGAAGCATTTTTACGACGTATGTCCGGAAAATTCTTTGTTGGACGACCTTCATCTCGCGCTCGAAAGAGTATTCTAAGTGGAATGAAACCATGGCATTTATCACCACATTTACTCGAAAATTTAACTACGGCAACAACTAATTTCAGTGGAGCTGCACTCAGGTTAGTAACTAAAATATTTTTCAACTCTTACTGTATTTATTATTGTAGAGCTCTTCGTCGATTGATTACAGTACACTGCGTTGATGCTCAACGTATTAATCCACGTTATCAACTTGACTATCGTACAATGCTTCAATTAACTGATACAACAGCAAGACAATATCGTATTTTAATTGGTGCAGAAACTTTACCGACTCTTTTATTGCGTACGTTAGTTGACGATGATCAATCATTCGAAGATGATCAACAACCAAAACCACGATTCAATGATTTACCGAATAAACCTAGATCGCTGTATACTGGTAAAATAATTATTAATTTACATGCACGTCGTATTGATATCGAATCAATACTTATGCAAGTGGGTACGGATGAACGTGAAAAAGTTGTTTATCAAGAATTTTTACGTGATTCAGAAACTAATTTACAAGAGTTACTTGAACGTTTGACTGTCTATGGAAAATCACGTAATGTGCAACTTCTTCAATTGATCGATCTTAATCTACTCTCAGCTGAAAGTGCTTATGATGAAAAAGATAAATTCGAAACTTTGAAAGAACGTCTTGACGAATGTGCAGGTTATCGTCGTTCAATGATCGTCTATGATTTAGATTCATTGATTGGAGTGAATAAAAGTGAAGGAAATTCTTCAATGGGTCGATCAACTAATTTTTCATTAATCAATCAAAATGTGTATACTTACGTAAAAGATAAATTTCAAACTGCATATATCGAACCATCACCGATGTTTTCCAATACAACTGAAAACAACAATAATGATATTGTTAGTACTGAGAAATGGTCCGTCATGGTTATACGTGATCAATTTCTTCTTCGTCAATTTTGTGATGATGTTCAATTTACACGTACATCAAGTGAAATTGAAGAAGAAGAAGCTCAAATGCGTAGTGCTGACGAACGAATTAAATGTGTTCAATGTAACGATTATTATATTGAACCAGATAATAAGATGGGTGTTTGTATGCATCACGATGGATTTGTCTATGATAATCATTCATTGACACTTGACCATTGGGGTCAAAGAGATGCAGTAGAACGATTATTGAAAGAAGAAGCAGCTGCTATACAAATGTCATTAAAAACTCCATTGTCACCAGAAGAAAAAGAACGAATGGAACGTGAAAAATTACGTTTTAAATATATTTGTTGTAATCAAACTGTACAAACTGCAAGTTCAATGGGTGGTTGCAAGAAAGGAAAACACAGTCCACCCAACATGACATTACTCGAATGGGAATACGCCTGTGATAATCATAAGGACTATCAAGATAAACGATTGAACTTGCTTCGAAGTAGAATTCAAGAGTAGATTTTTGTTTTTGCTTTGAAAGGATTAATTTAGGTATTCGTACGAAAAATAACTTTTATTTACTTTTCATTATAGATTATACTAGATAAATTGATACTTATTATGGCAACTAATCGCAAGATCAAAGAAGAAGAAGAACGATTACAAGCAGCAAATATACGACTGCTACGTGAACTTGAATTGAGTCAAATGAGTGATGCTGATGAACAGATTGCTAGACAAGAATTTGCCATGTTCGACGAGATGAAAAGTGAACTTGAAATATTGAATCGCGATAATGAAGAACGTATACATGAACTTGATGCAGAAATTCAAGATATGAATCAGGACATTGACACTGCTGAATCAGAACTCAATCAACTCAATGAACAATTGGAACGATTTCGTATTGACAAAGAAATTCAGGACAAAGATTTTCACCAAATGACTGCTAGATTGAGCAAACAAACTGACGAACTAGAACGTACTGAAGAAGAATTATTAAAGTTTCGTCGACAAGAGCTTGAACTTGCTGTCGAATGCGACAAATGGCAAACGACACTCATTCAACAACAAGAACTAATTACAGAAGAGAAACAACGAGTCGCTGATCTTGGACAACAAATGGCAGTATTGGAAAATAATAAACGTTTGCTAGAAAAACGAAGCGCTGAACTTACTGAAGAATTAAAAGCTGCCGAAACTGAACAAGTCGCTCTTCAACAAGAATTAGCTAAGATTGATGCTGAACGAGTTCCATTGGAACAGCAAACGAAACGATTACAACAAGAATTAGCTGCACTTCAACGAGTTGTTCAACAACAGACCGAGAAAATTCGTCAAACTCAGGAAGAAATGGCTCAATGTGAACAAGAAATAAATGCATTAAATACGCGTATTCAAGAATTGGAACAAGCCAAGCAGCAATCGGAAAATGAAATACGTGGATTAGAACAATTAATTGAACGTATTGAAGAGATGATAGTACAAGTAAGTCGAAAAATTGCATGAAATCGAGAATGTTTTAACAATATCGTTCAGGCGGAAACGCAGCAACGCGAAATAGAGAAATTAATTCAACAGAAAAATGAACAAAAACAGGCGGCTGAACAGGAGCAACATGCAGCTGAGAGTGAAGCTCAACAATTACAACAAGCTGTCGAATCACTTAACAGTGAATTACAAGAAGCGCAAAACAGATTAGCTACAGCAATTGGCGAACTCAATGAATGTGAAGAAAAAATACGTGAAGCCGAAAATGAAATTACTAAATTGAAGTAAGTTTTGATGGTTTGTCTTCCATAATAGATGTGGAGTTATTTTAGAGAATTAGTGGAACAAATCGAAGAGGAAGTGGAAACTGCAAAAACTGAACTCACCGATCTCACTGAGCAACATGAAGCTAAACAAACTGAAGTAACGGAAGCTGAAGCGGAGAAAGTGAAACTTGAAGCGACACTTACTAAAAAGCAAAAAGAACTCCAAGAAGCTACCGAAGAAGTTACTAAACTCGAACAAGCTGTAGCTGAAACTAAAAGTAAACTTGATGAAGCGACAACATTGCTAAATCAAAATACAGAAACATTGCGTAAAGAAGAACAAAATGAACTGGATAAGAAAAAGGAATTGGACGATCAACAAAAAATCGTTAATGATGCGAAGAAAGAAGAAGACAACTGTACTAATGCAGAGAATGCCGCAAAGAAAACTATGGATGCTGCGATTCTTACTGAACAAACAGAGCAGGCAGCAGTACAGGCAGCGAATGCAGCGTTGCTACAAGCTCAAAATGCACTTAAACTAGCTCAATTTGACGAAAAGATAGCACGAGACAACAAAAATAACAGTGCCATCAATGAGAAAGTGGGTATAGTTAGAACTGCTACACAAGCAGTTCACACATGCGAACAGAATAAGCAAGCTGCAGACTTTAAGCTGTCACAAGCGTCTGCAAAACGCCAGGAAGCTACGGCTGACCATCAGTCTGTAATCGACAAGACACGCCAGGCCAAGCAAAAACATGAACTAGAGAAGAAAACGCTTATGACTAAAGACAATGAATGGAATAGACAGATCGGAATAAAAAAAGCGGCTGAACGACAGGTCAATGCACAAAAAGAAGTTGTGACTACAGCTACCGATGATCATAAGGAAGTTAAGGGAAAACTTGATACAGCCAAAGAACAGAAAACAACAAAAACAAATGAATTTAATGATGCCGAAGCTGAAGTTCAAAAGCAGACGGAAAAGATAACAAAGTTGACAAAAGAAGCAACTGAATTAGAAACAAAAGAAACGCAAGCTAAAGAAACACTTACCAACACAGAGAATAAATTGAAAGAAGCTCAAGAAAAACAAAACGTGGCCGAAGAAAATCTCAAAACAAACACCGAACAACTGAGAGCTAGTCAACGAGCTGTTCAAGAAGCAGGAGCTGCTGCTGGTCAGAAACAACAAGCACTTGGAGCTAAACAGGCTGAACATGCAGCTAAACAAGGAGCAGCACAACAAGCCAAGAATAATGTTGCTGTGATCGGTCAAGATATTGCATTAGCTGATGCCAATAAAGAAGAATTAGAAAATGAGAAAAGAAAACGGGAAAATGCACTGCGTAGGGAACGCGAAAAAAGTCAAAAACTCAATGCAGAGCAAGATCAGCTGAAGGCAAAAGTTGAACAAACGCAACAGCAGAAACAACAACATGCAAGACAAGTACAAGATTTAAAAAATCAACTTGATACGCAAAACGGAGCTATGATGGAAAAGAGTAACGAAGTTGACAGCGCTAAGGCTGATTTGCAAGCGAAAGAACAACACAAAGCTCAACTGCAGTCGCAGCGCGATGAGCGTACTGCACGTTTTGAACAGGTTAAAATACAGATTCGAGAAAATGAGCAAGGTCTGCAAGAGAACGGAAGAAATATGAAACAAATGGCACAGACCATACAAAAACTGGAAGTCGATAAACAGGTATGGGAAATTATTTTTAGAAAATCAGTCACTATTGTACTATTTAGACGAATGCACGCACAGCAGCTGAGACAGAGCAGCATCTTCGTCAAAGAAACGAACGACTTCAACAACTATCCAATCAAGTTGGACAAAGACAACAAGTTTATGATGAACTGCAGAAGCGAAACAATAAAATCACAGTTGATGTCGAGCAACGTCAAGTAGCAAAAGAACGTTTAGAAAAAAATGCAGAAGAAGTGCACAATCAATGGACATCAAAACGAATATGGTTGACAACTGCGATGAAAAATGTCACTCAATTTCAACAAGATATAAACAATATTAAACTAACTAGTCGTCAACAACAACAACAGGAACGACAAAATATGAATCTACATCATACAAACGATATTCGACGACAACAACAGCAAGTTCGTCGTAACTAAAGACATATGTTTATAAATTTATTGATGGTTTGAATTGTAAAACATTCTTAAGATTTATTTATGATAAATAAATGGTTAGTATAGATATTATATGTTCCCTAGACTGAAAAGATAGAGTCTAGAAACGGGAATTATCTTTTTACATGTATCATTTTTGTCGGTAACATGGCACAAGTGACCATTTTATTTGCTATTATTGTTTTATTTGAATAGCATAATATTTAATTCATTTGTATCAAAAAGTTAAATATTTAAAATATTTCTTAATTATATATAGATCAACATTTTATTGAAAAAATTAAAATAATGAGTCAACTCTAATCTTACTTCTAATATGAAGAAAGTTGAAAAAAATGTTCACCTATTTTTATACAGTATGTCGTTCATCATCATCCACAAATATTTTTCATACATGTTTGAAAAAAACAATGATGTACCGAAACGTCCTGTACGACGACTCAATATAATAAAACCCAGGGTGTTAGACGCTTAAAAACATACGCATTGTAATTCTATATTAAAAATTTAGTTGTTGCATTATTGCCAAACATTTTAAATAAGTTTGATATATAATGATAAAGAGATCTATACACTGTATTTTTTATAAAATTGACTTAAATAAAGCTAAAGCATTTTTAAACTTTATCATTCATTCGTCAACTATCAAAGTTTTAGAGAATGTTTGATTTTATATAAAGCAGAAATTCAATTTGATTTCCTGCTAAAAGCCAAAACTAATATTGATTAACTGTCATTCGTATCTAAATACAATTATATCTGCATGCGGACCGCGACAGTCGAAGGCCAAGTAAATCGAGTTTCGATGAACGCTACTTGTCAATTAAACGTTTCAATAAAAAGAAAGACATTTATTAACTAATTTTAAATTTAAATGAGAATTTTGTATCTAATTGATTTTAATCAATAGTACAAAAAAGAATCTTCAGATTATTTTATATAAAAATAAGTATGCTGAATCGATGAAATCATTTTCATAGCCTTTCTATCTTCGTATTTTTCTGTATGATATATTAATTCCATATATAAATCAAAAACATCAATTTATTCGAGTGTGAGTTTTTTATGTGTTTTGTAGATCATTGTAACTACCCATATAAAAAAACGACAAAAAATATGATTAAAACCGATTAAACCGTAACAGATAATCGATGATAATCAGATTTATCACGTTTTTTTTTATATGGATGAGTGCCATTAACTTATGTGTTGATATGGTAGACCTCTATGTTGGTGTCATTCATAAATGAAACTCGCTTTTAATTCAAAAAAATTAAGATATTGTAGGTATTAATATTTAGTTTATTATTATAATCATTTTGTTTGTGACTTATACTCTCATTCGAGATGTCGCCACTGTTACTTCATTTGACTTTGATTGGCAATTCTAGTCACGCTTCGTTTCATAAGATAATGTACTCGTAATGAAGTGCACAATTATTTTATTTCAATCAATCTCTCATAGATAGATGTAACCTTGCATCGTTCACAAACAATTTTATACATAGCAGATATCTCTTATCCGGTATGGGTATTAAAGAATTTTTTCAACGTGATAATGCAAAACAAACTAATATTGATGACAATACACTTATTGCATTGGGCTATAAACCAGAACTTACAAGAGAATTTCATTATCTGAGTGCTTTTGGACAAGCATGGGGATCACAAGGACTAGCTCCATCGATCGCTGGCTCGTTAATCTTTGCTCTTGGTTCTGGAGGTTCTGTAGCTTCAGTATGGACATGGATTGTTGGTTGTTTCTTCTTAATTCCAGTTGCTTTATCTCTCGGAGAATTAGGAAGTAGTATGCCTACTTCTGGTGGTGTTTACTATTGGGTAGCAAAATTAACACCAATTACATATCGCCCATTACTTTGTTGGTTTACTGCATATATGATAACATTAGGATATATAACATGTTACGCTAGTACAGTTTATGCTACAACAACAATGTTTCTAGCAACGATTAGTATGGCTACCGGTGGAAATTATATTCCAAATAAATATCATGATTATGGTGTTTATGTTGCATTTTGTATAATAACATGTGCACTGATATGTTTCTCATCAAGAATTCTATCTATGTTAAATAATTTTTATGTTTTTTATCAAGGATCTTTATGTCTTGCATTAATTCTATGCGTAGTTATATCTACACCAAGTTCATACAGAAACTCTGCTTCGTTTGTTTTTATCAATTTTGAAAATACAGGTCATTGGACAAACAATGGTTGGGCATGGTGTCTTGGACTTTTAACACCAGTTTGGGTCGTCTCAGGTTTTGAATCGAGTTCTTCATTAGCTGAAGAAGCTTCGAATGCTAATAAAGTAGTACCATTTGCAATGATATCTTCATTATTAATTTCTTTCTTCGTTGGTACAGGAATTATTATCGCATTAATGTTTACTATGGGTACAGATATTTTTGCTTTACTTGGTAGTCAATTTGGACAACCGGTAGGACAAATGCTTTATAATAGTCTTGGTAGAAACGGTGCAACTACACTTTTCTTCTTCTTATTTCTTGGTTTCGTTTTTAATTGTGCAAATCTTGCATTTGCCGCTACTCGCAATATGTTCGCATTTTCTCGAGATGGTGGCTTTCCATTCAGTACATTTCTTCGAGTATTAAACGTACAGAAAACACCTATTCGTTGTATTTGGACATGTTGTTTCATTTCTATAATAATTGGATTATTAATGTTGGCAAATATTACTGCGATTACATCCGTATTCAATACTTCAATTATTGCCATGTACTTCGCTTATATGACACCGATTATATCAAGAATTATTTGGAAGGATATAACTCCTGGTGTTTTCTATTTGGGAAGATTTAGTTTTATCAATTCTATTGCTGCAGTTCTATGGATGATTTTTATTGTTATATTACTTTTCTTTCCATCATATCAAACACCCAATGCAGAACAAATGAACTATGCCATTGCTGTAGTTGGTTTCGTATTTATTTTTTGTTTATTATACTATTACCTTCAAAAAATATGGTGGCAAGACATTCTTCTATGGACCTGTTCGAACTATTGACTCAAATGAAACAGTTCCTATGGAAACAATTATCACAAGACATTAATGTAATTGATAATTGTCTATCAATTGTATAGAACTACTTTCTCTTCGTTCGTCTTTTTTCATATGTATATATCTATGAAATAAATAGAATTAGCTTTTATTTTATTTAAGATTCTAAAAAGAAAAAAATAGAAAAAAGATAAGTTGAATATGGATAAACTGAAAACTATTTTATCAGCCTTTGCATATGTTCAAGAAAATAGACAAACTATTAGCTCTAGCACTTGTTACAGCCAGATCCGGTTTGTTATCCTTATTGAAATCAAATACTACCACAGAAGTTGGATTTTTCGGTGTCGTATACGTGATTTGAGTTTGAAAATCTGCATTTCCATACCCAAGTAACACACTGATACTATCACTATTACTATTAACCACTACTAAATCTATGATTCCATCATTATTAACATCATTTGCTGATACGAAGCTTGGACCTTTTCCAACTGCATAATTTGTTGCATTGCTAAAAGTTGCATTGCCATTATTGAGTAGTACACTGACATTATTCGAACCAGAGTTAACAACTACCAAATCAATATTTTTATCATTATTAAAATCGCCGGATATTAAAAAAGTTGGTGTTCTACCGACTGTATAGTCATTTGAATATATAAAATTTCCACTCCCATTATTAAATAATATACTAACTGTATTGTTTTTTTTATTTGTCACGATTAAATCTGGTTTTCCATCATTATTTAGATCACCTGCTGTAACACATGTCGGAGATCCGGTAAAATTATATGTGTATTGAATTTCAAAACTTCCATTTTTCTTACCAAATAATACATTGACAGTGGCATCTTGAATATTTGATACTGCCAGATCAAGTATCTTATCAGAATTGAAATCTGATGCAACGACGCATGAGGGTAATTGGCCAACTGTATAATTGACTGGAGTATTAAACGATCCATTTCCATAACCAAAGAGTACATCGAGTGTATTGTTACCTTGACTGATTACTATCAGATCTTGTTTAGTATCATTATTAAAATCGGATGATATGACTTGATATGGAAAGCCACCAACAGTATTGCTTAGTGGAATTAGAAAACTTGCATTGCCACTACCAAGTAACACAATGATATAATTATTTTCTTCAGCAATCAATGCAAGATCTTGATTATGATCATCATTGAAATCATATGATACTAGCCACAAGGCAGATTCAGTATTTATAGCCTGAGCATCATAGGAAAAACTACCATCACCAGCACCTAGTACCACACTGGTACTATAGTCATCATTGCTTATTATTGCCAAATCTGTTTTGTTATCATTGTTGAAATCAGTTGCAACAATGTATAGTGGTTGATAACCAAGATAATACGGGATACTTGATGGAAAGCTTCCATTCCCAGACCCAAGTAGTACATTAACAGCGTATTCATAAGTGTCTATTATTGCTAAATCTACGTTATTGTCATTGTTGAAATCAGCTGCTATCAAAAAACTTAAGTAAATACCAATTGAATCAAGAGTCGATGTTGTAAAACTTCCATCGCCATTGTTTATGAGTATAGTGATAGTGCCGTCATTATTATTACCCGTCACTAAATCCGGGTTTTTGTCATTATTTAAATCAGTTAATACCATAGAAATTGGATAGTAACCAGTAAAATAAAAATCTGAATTATTAAATGATCCATTTCCTAAGCCATAAAACAAATCAACGTAGGGATCCAAACTATATGACATTGCTAAATCCATTATTTTATCACCATTGAAATCGCCAGAAACTATTGCGGATGGGGGATCATAAGTTGAAAAATAGGTACTATTTGGAAATAATCCATTCCCATTGTTAAAAAGGACACTAACAGTAATATCACCTTGATTCGATACTGCTAAATCCAGCTGACCATCATTATTAAAATCAGCAGAAATTACAAGATTTGGACCTACACCAACATTATAATCGACTGAATCCAGAAACAATCCATTGCCCAAACCAAATAGAACACCGACTGTATCGTCATTTGTATTAGTCACAACCAAATCTATTTTCTTATCATTATTTAAATCAACTGATATCATACTAGATGGTTTATTACCAGTAGCAGATTGCGTACTTCGAAAAATTTGCTCCTTATCACCTAATAGTAAAGCCACAGTATTATCTTTTGAGTTGACTATTGCTATATCGAGATATGTATCATTATCAAAATAGCCCACTACCGATGAAGATGGATAACGTCCAGTATTGATAGGATCAGATGGTTGAAATGGATTCTCGCATACATATTCTAAAACAAAACAATATTATCTTTAAATAGAAAAAGAATATTAAAATCTTCATACTTGTTGTTTTTGATTTTGTTCCCATAATAACACCAATAATAACACCTGCAATAAATAGAATAAGCAGTAAACAAATTGGAATCATAAATCTTTTCTTTCGATAAAATGGACGTCTTATAAATAAAAAAAAAAGAAATAATTTCATCAAATAAAATAATTAGATAAGACTCACGGAATTTTAGGATAAATATGTGCGCCTAAATATTAAAAAAAATATTAATATATATTATATAACAAATGATTGAAATACCTTCAAATGGTGGTTCAAGTGTCATCATTTCTGGTTCTACTTGTTTCAAATGAATAATATATAGATTAGCTGCTGGACTAAGTTGTGATTGAACTATCATATGAGTACCTGACATAAGAACAATTTCATCTTCAGTAACGAAATGTGAATGAGATTTTATTGTTCGACCATTGATAGCTTCAACAGAAAAAAGTGATCGATCACCTTCTTGTCCCAAATACATATTATTTTCAAGTACAGTCATTTCAGTAGTACATGATGAAAATGCCCACCATGTCATAGCACTACCAGGTGGAAATTCTGCACTTAAATTCATAGTTACTCCACGCCAAACAGTTAATGGTGGAACACATGGTAATTTAACAAGAGCAGTTAAGAACAATTTGAGATACCTGTGAAAAGGTAGAAGTGCTTGACGATCATTATTTTTCAGATTATAATTGAGTGTTGAATAGAGACTTCGATGAGGTTTATCCCATTCAATTGTATAAAGCCGAATTGCAGCACTTTCATCAATTGATAATCCATCAGGTGGTTGTTCTGGAGTTTCCTTTAATGCTAAGTCAACATAGAATGATAAATTATGAAAGATATCAGCTAATGGAGCACATGCTTGTGCAAGTGGTAATAAAGGTTCTTCAGAATATCCTAGAATAGGACTTATTTCTGTACCATCACTTTTAGTGATATCTTTATCAACTTTTTTTGTACTTCGTCTATCTGGTTGATCAGATTTATTTCTGTTAACAGTAGAATCTTTTTCTGATCTTCCTGTTTGTCTTTCACCACGTGATACTTCTGGATTGAGATTTTCATCTGTTCCATCTAACGGATGTGTTACATTCTCTCTGGTATTGCCTCTTGGATTTCGTGCCTGCTGACGTTCGTTCTTTACAGTATCATCCAAGACAATATCTGTAGATGTTGTTTGTATACCAATATTTTTAGTCCGTACGTACTCTCGATAATTTTCCGGTTCATCATCAAGTCTATTTGCAGTTAATTTAGTTTGTATGCGAACATTTCTGCTGGATTTAGGTTGACGATAATTTATTTGTTCGTCATTAAATGGAATTAATGTTTCCGTCACATTATGTATGGGAACATTTCTGTTTGATATTGTTCGTTGCTGTGAATAACTGTTCATATTTCTTTACATTTGAAATGAATGCTTTATTTTTTATTATAGATTATCAATATTCAT